TGCGTGCCAAATGAACTTTTCTCTCAAAGTTTACACTGCTGGCAAATGTAGATAAGGATTAAAATTTAAAAACTAACTAATACAACTAAAGTAAAATCTGTGGAAAATTAACAATAAAATACTTTTTTCGCAAAATTTATAAAGGACCCTTTTATTTCTCAAAAAAAACTGAGTAACAGTTATTCGTCGCCACGCTGTATATATATATATGTGTGTGTATATATATATGTGTGTGTATATAATGTGTGTAAGCTTTCGAAGACTCCGAAACCGCTGAGGAGTATGCTTTTGATGTTATTAACAGAAATACTCCGGCGTAATCTGGAGATGGTTCCCGTAAAGTTTATCCCATATTGGACTCAAAGTAAAAGAGTTGCCACCCACGTAAAAAAATAAATATGTAAAAGTTAAATGAAATACTACAAAATTCTTATCAAATGAAAGGTGATTGAAGAAGTCTTAATCCAAGGACATTTTTAATATGTCTTACACCTATAAAATAAAAGAGTTGCCAGCTGTTAAAAATATTTTATTTTTTTTATTTTTTTTTTATATCACTATTTCTGAAAATCACCGAAATCTGATTATTGATATATTTTTTAGTAAAAGGCCTCTTATATGAACAATCAGTTTTAAAGATTTCGGTGATTTTTAGAAATAGTGATAATTAACAAGTAAGAAAGTCCAAGTTCGGGCGGAGCCGAACATTAAATACCCTTCGCACATATTAATTATATGTTTTTCACCTTTCCGAAAGCTACCGCTACATGGTAAGCCGGGGTGTGTCAATTTTGAGTAAATTAGCGTCCTTAAATTTCGAAATATTAATTTTAGTCCAAATTCAATAATTTTCAACGTTTTGCTTTTATGTGGCAAGCACAATAACCATACCGAGTTTGGTACAAATTGGTAAAACGGTTACCGAGATACATATATGTGATCATAAGTGGGCGGTGCCACGCCCATTTTCCAAAATTTTATCATAAACGTATTTCTTCGTAATGAGTTGTTGCAATTGTCAATTTTGAATAAATTAGCTTTAATATTTACTGATTTATCAAAGATTTCGTATTTCTCCAAATTACCGTTATATGGGATGTGGGCGTGGTTATTGTCCGATCTTAAACATTTTTGGCCATTTGGTATGCTGTACCAATGCCAACAACTGTGCCAAGTTTGGAAGAAATCGGTGCAGCGGTTGCCAAGATATACACATGTTACCATAAGTGGGCGTGGCTACGCCCATTTTTCAAAAATTTATAGTATTCTTATTTCTCCTCCTAAAGGTATTGTAAATATCAATTTTGAGTGAATAATCTTCTGTAGTTACTAAAATATCGCAGTTTTTGTATTTCTGAAAATTACCGCTATATGGGAGGTAGGCGTGGTTATTGTCCGATTTTGCCCATTTTCAATACCATCCATCCTACTCCCGAAAGAAGTGAACACACCAAGTTTCGTTAAGATAACTCAATTTTTACTCGAGTTATCGTGTGCACAGACGGACGGACGGACGGACGGACGGACGGACAGACGGACAGACAGTCACCGCTTAATCGATTTCTCTGTTCGTCCTGATCATTTATGTATACATTTGTCTATATCTATATCGATTCGTTTTGCCTGTTACAAACAACCGTTATGTGAACAAAGTTATAATACCCTTGTGCACAAGTGCGCTCGGGTATAAAAACAGTCACGTACAAAATTTTAGAAATATAACAGGGAGTTATTTAAAAAAAGTTAATATTTTCCATTACCATTACCTAAGAGATTGGATCCAATCCAGCAAAACGGGAACGCCATTGAATTTAGAAATCCCAAATTAAGTACGATAAACTATCAAAGCCTGTGCTCAAAAAAAAGTTCAAGATTCGACCTTTCCGCTTTTCTTCTAGCTTCGATGAAAATCTATTGATAAAAAGTTTTATCTCTTTTGGTGACTTTACGGTGATCTCAGAAAAATCGTATTTTAAGGTCAAAATTTTAGACAACATGCTAATATTTATATAATTTTTTTATTATTTTTGTAATTTTTTTTTAATTTGTCGGTCATTCTTCTAAATTTTTTTTTTCGATATCAAGTAGGAATGATTTGGAAAAAATTTAGAAAAAAAATAGTTGTACAGAATTGTGCAGATATAAACTGTCATATTTAGAACCTAGAGCCAGAGCTATGATATATATAAATTTTAAACTGAGGACAGGTGGGGAAATACTACTTTCACACCAATAAATGCAAATAGTTGCAAAACAATTTTCGAAATTTTAGATTTTGACGTTTCTTCTTCACTAATAACTAGTGTTAAATACAATATAACATAGAAAATAAATGGTACTTACTTTTGGCTTGGAAATCCATCACAAACATAAAGTAAACATACCTCTATAAAACAATGACATGCAAAATAGCAATAAGTCCACATCATGAAATTAAAGAACACGCGTGAGCATTTTTCTGACAAGAACGATTAATTACTTAACCTTGCACAATAACCATACAAAAATTTTATCTAATTCATAAGAAAGAGAATATTGGTTGTCATTTTCCATATTTATAATACAAAAATTCAATGTCGACTTTTGTCCAGCTAGCTTGTTCTATTCGAATCACTGTGCGGCGATGAGATTTAAACATTTTAACAGATTTAAAAGTAAACAAAGCCGAATGGGAGGATAAAATAAAAATAATCTGTCAAAGAGTAAATTTTCTTAATATTAAATTTTTCGACAGGAAATGTTTTTCAATTGCCTTAGAATCATTGTATAGGCTTACAAGTATGGAAAGCGCCATTTTGTTTGTTTACATTTGAAAACAGCTGAGATCACCTGATTTTCAATTCTCTCATTCTCCGCACAGAGTTACATTCAAGTTTCAGAAAAAACTTTAAAATGTAAATTGAGAAATATTTTAGAAAAATGTGTTTTTATTCATTTGAATTCAATAAAAAAGAAATTAAAAATGCG